TGCTGTTGCACTTCTTTGTTTTTGATTTCTCCGATCTCCGCGTACTCTCCGCAGCAGTCTGCCGTCCTTTCTTTCCCCACAGCCTCCCCCCTATCGGGAGGCGGGGGGGGGGTTATAATCATCTGTCATTCCATAGCAATCGTAGGAGGAGGAGGAGGAGGAGGAGGAGGAGGAGGAGGAGGAGGAGGAGGAGGAGGAGGAGGAGGAGGAGGAGGAGGAGGAGGAGGAGGATAAAAGTCCCTCGGTCGCTTGCTTGTTCACAATTTATGTACATTACAACTTTCATCTACAGACATAAAGATTGATATTACAAAACCTACAACCAGCTCTCGCTTAATCAGCTGCAATGATGTCAATCACAAGCACGAAGAGCAAGCACACAGCTCACTGTATTGACAGTTCCATGCGAAGAACTCCATCACCTGGATGCAAACATTCTCAGCCCCGCCTGCTCCTCCCACCTCTCACTCACCGCGTCCATCCCCTTGGCTGTGAAGCCCTCAGGAAGGAGATTTCCTGCATGGCAGTGAGTGTCGGCGGTCGAGGGGGGTTGGAGGAGAGGCACCAGGATTGTCTTCGAGCCGAAGTTGCTCGATGCTCGTCAGATTGCCGAGCTCCAGTGGAATGGACATCAGCTGTAGGAGGTCAGAGAGTGAAAGGGGGAGGGCGGGGGTGAGCGTTGAGAGAGGCAGAGCAGAAGGTCAACGTTGCGAGGAAGGAGCATACCAGGGATGAGAGGAACAAACAGAGCAGGGCGGAGAGGAGCAGGGAGGAGAGAAGCAGGGAGGACAGGAGAGGAGACGAAAGGAAAGGAGGGGCCAGAAGAATGTCCAATACCAGACAAGATGCTGAAGCAGGATGGCAAGTACCTGATTATTCTCGAAGGAAACTTCTCGAAGTCCGGTCAACTGTCCGATCAAAGTCGGGATTGATCGAATCTTGTTGTGAGAGAGGGCGAGCTATCAAGCACGAGTAGTAGTCAGCGAAAAAAAGAGTCGATTTCTTGTCGTTGTCGTCATCATCATTATCATCCTCCTCATCCTCAACCTCATCCTCAACCTCCTCCTCCTCCTCCTCCTCATCATTGTCATGATCCATCACCTGCTGCAAGTTGGTCAGGCGGAAGAACTCGTTGGGAAGATGCTCGATCAAGTTGTGACGGAGCATCAGGGAGCTGAGGCCCAGGATCTTTCCAATCTGCGAGAATCTCAGCATAGAGTCAGGAGCGCACCATTGTTGCCTGTGGAGAAATCTCCGCAATCTGGTTGAAGGAACAATCCAGCATCATCTAGAGCGAGCCAGCAGAGGTCAGAGGCCGATGAGTTTAGGAGCAGCCGCACCAAAGAGCGGAGGTTTTCGACGTCTTCGGGGATGGAGGACAAGCAGTTATGCTGCATCCGTAGGATCCTGAGGTTCGTCATGGAAGAGATCTTCACGAAGATTTCATCCTCAAGGCTGGAAAATCGTCAGGGGGAGGAGGAAACGAGTCAGCAGAGAGGCGACCGATTGTGCGAGAGGTCCATGTTGGTCAAGGTAGCGCTTGCTAGCTCAGGCAAAGATTGCAAAGAATTGTTCTTCATCAGAAGGTTTTGGATCCCAGCAATCCCGATCGTCTTTCCTCCCTTGAAGGACGACGTCGAGCGCGACGTCCTGGCTGAAGACGAAGGAGTATCTGCTATCAGGGAGACATAGCCGATCTGATTGTTGTCGACGCATAGGTATCTCAGACTCTCCTTGGAGAGGAGGGAGGATGGGAGCTGGGAGAACTGAGGAGGGCAGCAAGTCAGCCGCCAGCAGCTCAGCTCAGAGGGCTCACGTTGTTGCTTCTAAGGTCGATATGTCGAAGATGAACGAGTTTAGAGAGGGAGGGAGGGACGTCGTCTATCTTGTTGAACCGAAAGTCTAGCATCGTCAGCATGGTGAACGTCAGGATCTGACAGAAGGAGTCAGTGTGCAGCGATGAGCTCCATGCAAGACGGCAACTGCGACCAGGAAGAAAAGGTAGGAGGAGGAGGAGGGGGAGGAAGGAAAAATACCTCGTCTGAGATCCTGGTGAGAGCGTTGCTAGCTAGGTTGATGGAGAGGAGGTAGTTCAGATGGTGAAAGCTGATGTTGGATTCGCTGAGCTCCATTCCTGACAAGTCCAGGTGCATCGACGACCTTGCATCTCCAATCCGACGAAGATACTGCAGGGCATGTCATTGCTATGGAGGGCCAGTATAATCCCATCAACCCCCCCCCCCCCCTCCTCCACCCCCCCCCCCCCCTCCTCCCACCCCCTCCTCCACCTCCTCCACCTCCTCCTCCTCCTCCTCCTCCTCCTCATTTTCCTCCTCCTCCTCCTCATTTTCCTCCTCCTCCTTATTTTCCTCCTCCTCCTCATCGCCACCGCCATTATGATCATCATCAGGAGCAGCAGGAGCAGGAGCAGGAGCAGGAGCAGCAGCAGCAGCAGCAGCAGCAGCATCGCTGTGTCGATCATCGCAAACAGAAACTTGACATCCATATCTTCGTTTGCCTCACCATCTGAATGATCGGAATCCCTTCGTCCATGATGTGTTTAGGAGGGTCGATCAGCCCGTCGTCCACGTGCAGCCTTTGCAAGCAGCTCAAAGTGCCGACGAATGTAGGAAGGTACTTGAGCTTGTTCCCGATCAGAGTCAACTCGTTGATGGGAGCGGCCGTGGACTGCTTCTTCCCCTGCTCGCTGGTTGTCAGTACGCCCCTCACCATCTTCCCTTCCTCTCACATTGACTGGCTTCACCTCCTCAGCCTCATCGGAGCCTGAAGCTGCAGTCAAAGACGAGGAGGAGGGAGCGAACAAGAGAGGGAGGGAGAAGTTACCAACGATCCCCAGCAGGTCCGTCGGGAGGTCCTGCGAGAAAAGGATGAGATGGGATGGATGTCGAGCTGAGAACAGCAGGACCTCGAGCTCAAGGTCGCGGAGGTCGATGTGGCCAGTGATTTTAACGTCGTACATCCTCTTTAGGTACTGGAAGACCTGGAGGGAAAGTGTGAAGAGTGGGAAGGAGGGAGATTGCTTTCAGAGACAGAGACAAGAAGGAAGATGGCTATCAGAGACAGATTGAAGACACGGTTGCTAACAGAGATGGACATAAAAGAAAATGGCTATCAGAAAGAAAGACATGACAAGAGATTGCTATGAGAGAGCAAGAGATGAAAGGAAATTGGTACGAAGGATCTTTGTTTCTCTTTTCGGAGACGAAGGCAAGGAGGGCAAGGATACAATCCGATGATGTTGCAATAAACAAGACATGAACTCCCTTCCGATCATCATCACCGCTACAAGGCCCTGCCGCACGACGAGGTCCGGGGGGTCGAGGATCGGGTTGTCATCGAAGTTGAAGTTGACGAGCAAAGAGATCCTGCTGAGGCTGGGAGGAAGCATCTTGATCTTGTTGTTGGACAAGGACAAGAACGTCAGGTTGGTGAGTCGATGGAAAGGTTTGGGTATCTCCACAACCTGCCAAAGAGAAGAAGATGAGCTAAAGGATATGGAGTGCTTGACTTGAAACTTCAAACAGCACCTGGTTGTTCGCCAGGTTCAACGTGTGGAGGCCAGTGCACAAGCTAATGCTTGAGGGGAGGATGCTGATCTCGTTGCGTTGGAAGTATGCTTCCTGCAAGCTCTTCATGCGGTTTATCTGGTTGGGGAGGAACTTTATCTTGTTGAGACTGAGGTCCAAGTACGTCAACGATGACAAGCTCGGGAAGGTGGGAGGGAGCAGCTGGAGTTGGTTGTCCTCCAGGCACAGCTTCTCAAGGTTGGTCAAGTCGCCGATGGAGTTGGGAAGGGACTCTAGTGAGTTCTTGTCCAGCAGAAGAGACACGACGCTCGTAAGGGTGCCGACCACAGCAGGGAGCTGCATCAAACGATTCTCCCCGAGGTCAAGATGGCGGAGTTGCTCGAGCTGGGCGATCTCCCAGGGGAGAGTTCTCAGCTTGTTGTGCCTCATTCTGAGCGTCTGCAGGACCTTCAGCTGGGAAATCTCGGGGCTCAAGAGCTCGATGACGTTGTTGTCGAGCTTGAGGGCCTGCATCCTAGTGCCGAGGGCGATATCGTTGGTAACGGCGCTGAGCTGCCAGGAGGAGAGGTCGAGGTCCCCAGTATGATGCGCGTCAAATACCCTCCTCATGTACTCGAAGATCTCTGCCGTCGGCCGCTTCATGACGTCCTCGTGCGGGCTCCTCCACAGGTTGTTGGCCGTCACGACGCTGGTCAGGCTGGTGATGAAGGCAAACTCAAGGTAAAAGACCGTGAGCTTGTTGTTGGCGAGGTTGAGGGCAGCGAGGTTGGTGAGGAGGAGGAAGTCGACAGGGATGAAGGTGATGTTGTTGTGGGAGATGTCCAGCTCCCTCACCAGCAAGAGACTTGAGAAGGAGAAGTTGTACGCCTGTACTGGGGCGCCGATAGCCCGCAAACTTGCAAACTCCTTGGAAGTGAAAAGATGCTCGTCGGTCCCCTGGTAGTCCAGAACCTCCAGCAGGTTGTTTGCCAAGCTCAAGGACGTCAAGTTGGTCAGCTGCACGAGAGTGAAGGGGACGGTCTCAAGGCCGAGCTTTGACAAGTTCAGCCGCCTGCTGCTCGTTGCCTCGTTGCGCCTGTCCAGATACTCCATGATATGTCGGAATCCCATCCTTGCGATGTCAGCGGGAGGATCCGCGATCTTGTTCCCGTCGAACTCGATCTCCTCCAGGGTAGAGATGGCAACGACTTGCGGAGAGATACTGGTCAGCCGGTTGTTCTTCATCCGCAGCAATCGAAGCTGAGTCAGGCAGTAGATGGAGTCCGGGAGATGATCGAAGCGGTTATTGGAGATGTCAATCCTTGTCAAGCACGACAGCTTGTCAAACTCCATCGACAGCGTGTCCAGGAAGTTCCAGCTCAGGTCCAGGTGAGCGAGAAAGACGAAATCTGTCAGACCCGCCGGGACAGAGGTCAGTTTGTTGCTGCTGATGTCCAGCTCCACTAGGGTCGTGAGGTCGTCGATGGCATCGTGCAAGTGACTGAGCTGGTTGTCTCTGAGGTACAACTGCTGCAGGCTGGACAGCCTGGCCATGCCCTTGGGGAGAAAGGCAATCTTGTTGAAGCTCATGTCGAGAGTCCGCAGCTGCTCCAGGCTCTCGATGGCCTGCGGGATGATGGCAATCTGGTTGTTGGACATGCTGAGAGTGCGCAGGGAGGTCAGGTAGAAGACAGCAGCAGGCATCTGCTTGAAGAGGTTGTGGTTCAGCTCGAGCCTGCTCAGGTTCACCAGCTCCATCGCCTGCTCGGGCAGGTCTTGCATCAGGTTGCGGTTGCAACAGAGCACCTCCAGGCTATCCAGCAGGTCCGATAGTGTGAGGTCAAGGTGGACGATCGACCAGTCGTTTAGCTCCAGCTCTCCTCGTCTGTTGCTCATCTTCTGCCCCTGGAAGCTGTACCCCTCCGGCAGCCTCCCCCTCGCTGCCAGCAGGAGGGCAAGGAAGTTCATAACGGCGGTGAGTCCGCGGGGAACGATCTCCTGCGGCGGCATTCGCGAGTCGTTGCCGTGGGCCTGGAGGACCTGGAGGCTTGTCATGAGGGCGATGGAGGTCGGGAGGATGTGGATGAGGTTGTCCACGAAACAGAGCTCCTGGAGGGAGGGGAGGGAGCATAGCTCTAGAGGGATCTCGTGCAGGTTGTTCTTGTTGATCCGGAAGACGCGGAGGTCGCGGAACTCTGAGATGCTCGGAGGAATCTCGTAGATCCTGTTGGATGACAGGTCAAGGAGCTGGAGGAGGGAGAAGTGGAAGAGAGGAGGAGGAATCGCCTGCAGCTGGTTCCCCACAAGGGAGAGCCTGGTGAGGAAGGTGAGGACCGTCATGGGGGGAGGGACGTGACTGAGGTTCATCTCATGAAGGAAGAGCTCCTTCGTTGCATGCGACCGCGACATGTTCTGCATGTACTCCCTCAGCTTGCTGCCCGACACGACCGCAACTTCCTCCGGGGGATCGACGAGCGGGTTGTGGGCCGCGTGCACAGTGTCGATGTAGGGGATGAGGCCTAGGTCAGGGGTGAGATGCTCGACGAGGTTCTCAGACACGTTGAGGGAGCGGAGGGACGTCAGCCTGCTGCAGTTGTCCGGCAAGGACTTGATCTTGTTCTCCTGTACGTTGAGGGTCTGGAGGCTCACGAGGCTGGAGAGAGAGGCAGGGAGCCCTTGGAGTTTGTTGGAGCTCAGGTTGCAGGAGACGAGGCCAGTTAACAGCCCGAACTGATCCGGGATGCTCGTCAGCTCGTTGTGACTGAGGCTCAAGGTCTGGAGGTCGTACAGGAGGCAGAGAGAGTCGGGGAGCGATGAGATCTGGTTGTCGTCAAGGTTGAAGAGCTGGAGGGTCGTTAGGCTGGAGACGTTGTCCGGCAGTCGGGAGATCCTGTTGTTGTTGGCCAAGAGCTTCCTGAGGCTCTTCATGCCGTCGAAGAGACTTGGAGGCAGGGAGGTCAGACGGTTGTTGGAAACTTCGACCACAAGGATCTCGGCGAAGTTGTCAAGAACTTCGCACGTGTAGGACTCAAGGTTCCAGTTGCTCAGAGTCAGAGTCTGGGAGGTCTTGGAAGACCATAGCGTCCTGAGGTAAGGGAGGATGGTGCCGGTCCCCTCTGCTATGATCTCGGGAGGAGGAGACGAAAGGAGCTCGCAGTGCGTGAGGTCTAGCAGCCTTAGTGACTTGGAGAACAGTCCGAACTCCGGAGGGACGGATCTCATTCGGTTGCGGGAGAGGTTCAGAGTCTTGAGCTTCGTCATCTGCCACATGACTGAAGTGATGATGACAACCTGGTTGTCCTCGAAGCTGAGGTGCTTCAGGAGGAGGAGATCGCCGATGCGGATGGGGATGGTGCGGATCCTGTTCTTGGCGAGGGAGAGGGAGGTGAGGGAGGTGTAGAAGAAGAGTTCGTCGGGAACTTCGATCAGCATGCAGCCTTCCAGGTCGATCTTGCAGATCTTCAGCCCGTCCTCGATGCATCTCAAGTACTTCAAGATCACCCCGGGGCCCTCGCCATGGATCTCATGGGGAGGACTGGTCAAGTCGGCACATTGAACCACCAGGTCGCGCAGGTTGGTCAGATGGCAGAGGGAACGAGGGAGCGAAGTCAGGGGGTTGCGATCGACGTGCAAGCACTCCAGGGCCGTAAGCTGACCCAGCTCCTGGGGAATTGAGCTGATCTTGTTGCCCGAGACGTCCAGGTGGGTGAGGAGGGAGAGGGGGAGGAGGGAAGTGATGTCAACCTCCTCGATCAGGTTGTCCTTGAGGGAGAGGAAGGTAAGGCTCGTCAGCTCCAGCAGCCCAGCAGGCATTCTTCTGTGCTTTAGGCTGGCCAGGTCGAGCTTTGCCGTCGAGCGAGCAGTTGACAAGCTCCTGAGGTATCGCAAGATCGTTGCCACGTCTCTGCCCTCAGTGACGTCGATGGGAGGAGAGACCACTGCCTCCTTGTCAAAGTCCAGCCTCTCCAACGTCGTGCACCATCCCAGCTCGAACGGGAGGGCCTTGAGCTGGTTGTTGGTCACCGACAGGATCCTGAGCCTCCTCAGCGAGCTGACGGAGGACGGCAGGGAGGTCAGTCGGTTGTTGTCCAGAAGGACCTCCAGCAGGTTGTAGTTCCTTCCAAGGATGTCAGAGACGCTGGTGAGATTCATGCCTTGCAGGTTGAGCAAGTTGGAGGAGGAGGAGTCGCGGAGCCTCCGCAGGTACATGCAGATGAAGTTGGCGCCTTTCCTCCGGATCTCCGGTGGAGGGTCGCGCACGGGGTTGCCCGATAGGTCGAGCTCGGAAAGGTTGGAGAGGAGGCCCCACTCGAAGGGGATGGAAACGATCTTGTTCCTGGCCAGGTTGACCCTGGAAAGGCTGATGACGTGGCCGATCTCAGGGGCAAGAGCCTCGAGCTGGTTGCCTGCAAGGTCCAGGTGGTGGAGGGCCTTGAAGTTGCCAAAGTCTGACGGGATGTCAGAGATGTTGTTGTCTGCCAGGCTGAGGTGTGTGAGGGTCTCGATGTAGGAGAAGGAGGCGGGGAGGGAGTCCAGGAGGTTCCCGTCGGCAATGAACTCCCGTAGCTCCCGCAGGTTGCCGACGAGGACGGGGATGTGGAGGAGGCGGTTGGAGCTGACGTTGATGTGGACGAGGTTGAGGAAGGTGAAGGTTTCAGGGACGAGCTCGGAGACCAGATTGTTCGAGATGTCCAGCTGAGTCAGGGAGAAGTTTGCAGCGTGATGAATGGCGAAGGTCTGCATGCCGCAGGACGACAGGTCGAGCCTCTTGGAGGTGAGAGCGTCGAGCAGGGCCGAGAGGTACTCTTTCACTGGCGCGATCCCCTTGCTGCAAATTTCCATCCCAGGAGACAGCAGCTCGTTCCCCTCGAAGGTGAAGTCTGTCCAGCTGGGCAGGAAGCTGAGCTGGGGAGGGAGGGATCGAAGGGAGGGGTTATGATCGAGGAGGAGGGAGGATAAGGTGCTGATCCGTCCTAGCGTGACGGGCAAGCTCTCGAGTCTGTTCCTCTTGGCAGAAAGGAGCTCGAGCCTTGTGAGGTCGCAGACTTCCAGCGGGATCGAAGTGCAGAAGTTGTCGTCAATGATGAGCTGACGAAGGTTGTAGAGGAGGAAGATGGAGGAATGGAGGACCTGGAGGTCCTGTCTGCTAAGATCCAGGACGTTGGTCTCCTCGGCGGCTAGCAGGTTGTGCAGGTATGACAGGATAGCATCCGTACCCTTGTCGATCACCTCGCGGGGAGGGGACTGCACAGGGTTGCCCTTGAAGCTCAACTTGGTCAAAGATGAGAGGCGGGCCATACCCGCTGCGAGAATCTGGATCCTGTTCTCGTCGACGTTGAGGGTCCGAAGGTTGGTGAGGACGAAGATGGAGGGAGGGACTTGCTCTAGCCTGTTCCCACTGAGGTTGAGGGTAGTCACTGACTGGTACTCCTGGGCGTTGATGAAGATTCTCTCCATTCCCATCCACCCGAGGTCGAGGACTTTGGAATGTTTCCCCTCCCACATCCTCATCAGGAAGGCAGAGATGGCAGGCAGGCCCTGGGCTCGGATCTCGGGCGGGGGGGAGAAGAGCTGGTCGTTTCCGTCCATCAGGAGCAGTTTGAGCTTTGGGAGAAGAGCAACTTCGGGGAGGACGTTGAGCAGAGGGTTCTTGCCAACGTTGAGCTCCTCCAGCTGCTTCAGCGCCGCGATGCCAAGAGGAAGAGTCTCGAACTTGTTGTGCCCCATGCGCAGTTTTTTGAGTTCAACCAGCTCAGTGATGCTGCTGGGCAGATTTGACAGCCTGTTGCGAGACACGTCGAGGAGGAGGAGGTGCCTGAGCCGGCCGACAGCTTTCGGGATCTCGTCCAGATTGTTTCCAGCCAGTCGGAGCTCAAGGAGAGCAGAGAGGGAGAAGAGAGAAGGATGCAGCTCAGTGAAGAGGTTGTCTTCAGCGTACAGCCGCTTGAGCTTCGAGAAGGCAGCAAGGTTCGGAGGAAGAGCACGGAGGAGGTTAGAGGAGAGGACGAGACGCGTTAGACCCGTCAACCTCCCAACCTTCATGGGCAGAGACTGCAGCTTGTTCTTGAACAGCTTCAGCTCGATCAGCGCTGTCTGTCTGCAGATGATGAGGGGGAGGGAAGTCAGTCCTAGAGCACTCAAGTCCAGCATCCTGTTCCTTTCCGAGTCATGCAGGCACCGAAGGTACCGCAGGATTCTGAACGTTCCTTGCTCGACTATGTCGGGAGGGGGAGACCGCAGTGGGTTCTCACCGACCTGCAAGTCGACCAGAGAGTTCATGTTCCCTGCATCGTTGGCTATCCATGTCAGCTCGTTTCGTCGGAGCCAGCAGATTCTGAGGACAGGAAGCTTGGGGAAGGTCGGGGGAAGCCTCTCGAGCTTGTTGTCTTCAGCGTAGAGCTCGGCGAGGCATGCGAGGAGGCCGATGGCATCCGGGAGGGAAGACAGGTTGTTCTCGGAGACGTTGAGAACTTTAAGACTCTTGACGTTGCAGATATGGTCCGGGAGCGCGAGTAGCTGATTCTTCTGCAGTTGAATGTGCGTGAAGTCCGCCTGCTGAAACACCTCGGGAGGGAGCCAGCGGATGGAGAAAGAAACGAGTCGTAGCTTCCCGGTCGTTTTTCCGTCGTTGACGTCGGCCAGGTAGGACATGCAGGCCTGAAACCCGTTGGTAACCACCGTCATGGGAGGAGACTCCAGTGGGTTGTTGTCAACAGACAAGGTCTGCAACGAGGAGCAGTTGCACAGCTCGTCCGGGAGGTGACGGAGGTCGTTGTGGGTGCAGCGGAGGACTGAGAGGTTGGTCAGGTTGCCGATGCTCGCTGGGAGCTTGAGGAGGAGGTTGTGACTGAGGTCAAGAGTCTCAAGGAGGCAGAGGGCTGACTTGTCCCCTAGGTCCTCAGGAAGAGTCGTCAGGAAGTTGTTGCAGATGCGTACCTCCCGCAGCCCCTCTAGGCTCCAGACTGTGGAAGGGACGTAGCGCAGCTGGAAGTTGTTTAGCTCGAGCTGGGCTGACTGGATCGACGCCCGGATACACCTCAAGACCTTCAGCACGATCTGGTGGGAGGAGCTCAGGGACTTCGGGGAGAGCCAGGGGAACGTGTCGTTGCCGGAGAAGTCCAGGTTGACAAGGGAGGAGAGGGCGATCATCTCGATGGGGACCGAAGAGATCCTGTTGTTTGACAAGGAGAGGGAGGTGAGGTGAGTCAGAGTAAAAACAGGAGGAGGAATGTTTTGCAATCCTATGCCCGAGAGGTCGAGCGAGAGGGACGAAATGCCGTAGTAAAGGCCCTCGAAGTATCTGATCAAGCACCCCGTGGACTCTTGCCCGACCTTCACTTTCCTCAGCAAGTGTGCAAGCTGCTGCTGGTACTCCTCTGCAAAAGTTGGCCCTTCGTGCCTCACTGTATCACAGTCGACAGGCCTGAAGCATCGGTCAGGATCGAGTAGGCTGGCGCACAGACGTCGCTCACGAGAACTTGACAGCAGTCATGTTGCAGTAATCCAGCAGATGAAGTGGGCAAGAATTAATCTCATTTCCTTCAACGTTCAGATAGCATAACTTGAGCAGGTTTCGCATTTCCACCTTCCCCATCCTCTTTCAGTGCCCGGCAACCGCAAGCAAAGCTCTCACCGGAAGATCCACAAGCTTGTTGTAGGACAGGTCGAGAATCACGAGGTTGACGAGGTTCCCGATGCCACCATCAACGTCCACCAGCACGTTCTCGCTCATAGACAGAAAGGCAAGGGAGGTAAGGCAGCAGAGGGGTGGAGGGAAGAGCGTTATTTCGTTCCCGTCCAGCAGCAGCGTCTGGATGTTCCTCAACCTGTTTGTAATGGAGGAGTGCAGCAGGCAGGGGAAGCAAGCATGAAACAGTTAGTTCTGTGAGCAAACAACCACGCAAGTCACCTGTCAAACCCATCGGGAAGCTGTGTCAGCTTGTTGTCTCGCAGGTCAGCGAAGACTAGGCTCTCCATCTCGCCGAAGGAGGGGCTGATGGAATGAATCCCGCTGTTGCTCGCGAAGAAGCTCTGCAGGCACTTGAAGTCTCCGATGCCCTCAATGATTTCAAAGGTCTCCACGTTGGAGATTTGCAATGACGTCAGGACTGTGCATAGGCGGTGCGCATGGTGGACGGCGTCGGTCCTCAGGACCTTAAGGTAGTCGAGGGTCAGGTGCAGCTCCTGCCTCTCATGGGCGATCAGAAGGTTCCTCAGCGCATGGAACAGGTCGGAGATCTCAAGGTCTGCGATCGCCACGAAAGGCTCTCGCAGCACGTTGTCCTGCAGGTTGAGGGTAGTGAGGGCGGTACAGCTGCACAGCTCCAGTGGCACTTCGTGGAGTCTGTTCCCTTGGAGGAGGAGAACCTTGAGGTTGCCCAGCTGCCCAATCTCTGGAGCGATCTGGACGAGGCAGTTGTTGTGGAGGAAGAGGCTCTTCATCGACTGAAACTCCCCGATCGCCGGGGGGATCTTTACCAGCTGATTGGCGTCCAACTCGAGGGTATGCAGGAGTTTCAGGCTGCGCAGACTGGAAGGGAACTCCACGAGGTCGTTGTTGCTCAGCTTGATGGAGACCAGTCGCTCGGAGAGCCTGATCTGCTGCGGCAGCGAGCTGAGCTTCAAGCTCTCCCAGTGCAAGCTCCCGTTCACTTCTGCCTCCCTGCTCCTCTCTTGGAGGAGAGCCAAGGTTTGGTTGGGATCCATGGGGTCAGCCAGTCTCCTCAACTAGCATACACCATATCGATCATCTGCATGACAACCATGACGTGTTCAAACATGTTTCAGATCTCAGTGAGCGTCGGGGATCGGCGCTGGCACGCACAACTCCCAGAGGATCTTTGAGCCTTCCTGCATCTCTCCAAGGCATATTCGAGCGGCATGTACATCTCGCATCACCTTGTGTTTGTCTATCGCATCATCAGCTCGTCACTTGTTGTCATCATTGCGATCCTGCTTGCTTGCTCTTCTCCTCCTTCCATCTGCCCTCGTCCTCCCCCGACGCCATGTTGGAGCTACTCGCTCAGTTGATTGCTTGGTGCTCCCGGGTCTAGGCCCCGGCCGGCCTGCCGGGTTCGACTCACTGTCAGTCCGTCCCGGCCCGGCCCGGCGGCCGCGCGGACCGTACCGTCGGACTCCCGGCGGCACTGAGTGACAGTGACCGTGGAGTCGGCCCGGTGACTGCCGTATGGTACTACACCGCCGTGCACCGGCCCGGTCCGACCACAACCACGGTTGAATAACTTTGAGTAATCTTTTTCTTAGTAGAGCCGCTTTTTCTTACCCGGGCCGGTTTACTCAGTTGAGTAAACTTTTCGGCCCCCGTGAAGTTAAAGCTTTTTCTTAGTTGAACTTTGCCAAATTGAGTAAACTTTTTCTTAGATTAGGTAGTACTGTAGACTCGAGAGAGAGAGAGAGTCCGGTCAACTTTCAACTGTAAGTTCGATACCGGGCCGCCGTTCCGAGTTCCGGGTTGACTAGAATGATGTCTTTCATTTTTTACCTTCGGTTGACAAGAATGATGTCTTTTTTTCGAAGGCAACAACCCCACAAGCAAGCTCTGCACGATGTCATGGGCGCTAGACCTGAGGCAAGTGGAGGATGCAGGACGAGGAGGATGGAAGAGAGAGAAGACAGAGCCGAGCAATGTCCTACAGGTGATCTTCCTTTTCGCACAAGTGATAACTCAAATCGTGCGACTGAGTTCGGAATGTTGCGAACTTGTGGCTCGAACGGAAACTTCTTTGAGAAGATCACGCGTGCTATCAATCAGGTGCCGTTTGACGTCAAGACCATCCAACTGGCCTTGGATCAGGCCAAAGGTAGCGGCGCGCGGACTGTCACCTGATGGGATGGCTGAATGTGATCATATCAGATGGAGATATTATTGCCGTCACCCCAGGAGAATACGTTGAGAGCGTTGTTGTCCGGTCAGACGTGACCATCCGAGCAGAAATACCTTCTTTCCATCCTCCTGGAGCGGTTTGATCCGCTGCCCCTGCTGCCGTCATCTGAACCTCGTGCAGTCGAGGGAGGTGAGGATCGTGGCGTCAGGAGAGGGGAGTACCATCCGGGTGTCAGCATCAGAGAGGAAGGAAGGAGACAGGGCGAGAACAAGGATCACCCCCCGAGTTCTGATCGGAGATGTAAGGAGAAGGGGGGTGGGGTTATGAGCGGGGCTGATGCTCTCCCTGCGTCAGATTACTTTGATGTGCAAGTCGGACGTCCTGTCGGATCACGTGTTAGAGGTCGATGGCGCGTATGTGCACGTTGAGAGCTGTAGCATCGTTGGAGGTAGGGAGATTGCGGACAAGAGGCATGCTAGCAGATCTTCATGTCATTGACAGGAACACATGGGATATTTGCTTGCAACCATGGAGAAGTGAAGATGAGTTTGAGTGAGGTGTCAGGGGCGAGCAGGGCGGGGATCAGTTGCTTCAGCGGGGCGAGGGTGCACGTACAGGACAGTAGGATCTTGAACAATGGGGAGAACGGAGTTGCTGTTTGTGGATGGTCTATCGACAAGGTGAACGATTCAACATGGAATTGTTTTGAGATGCTTCATTCATGACGGCATTTGCAACAACAGAATCACTTTGGGTCGAGAGTTGTCGTAGAAACTTCTAAGATCTACAACAACAAGATGTTCGGAGTGATGGTGAGATGATGTTGGAAGGAAGCATGCCTTGACATTCCAGCTAAGGCGTACGGAGGAGGCAACGTCAGCCTAAGAGGAGACGACATCATGAACAACGAGAAAGGAGGTTTATTCTTGATGAGTGAAGGTTGCAGATATCTTATCAAGGCTGCTTCCGAGCTGACATACCAGCACAGAGACTGTAGCAGACGTCGAGTACTGCAGGATCAAGGGGAACGGCTGTTATGGAGCAATCATGTATGTGCGTTCTCGCAAACGTTTGCCGATTGAAATCATCTCGACTTCCACAGGCATGCAGAGCACAGGTCTATACCCAAGTCGCTAAGAGTCATCAAGTAAGTCTCCCTGTTGCTTGCACGCTTGCTGTCTGCTCAAATCTCCTGCCATGCTGTGGGGCACCACCGCTCGGAGGGTGCTGAGGACAGGATGCGCAGGAGCGACGTGCGTGAGAATGAGTTCGGAGCATGGAAGATCCATCCGTCTCTGAGCAAGCAAGCTGACATCTATGCCGCAAGCAACCGGACGAGCCAGGTAGAATCATGGCGGCACGACGAGGATCAACTGACGAGGATCAACTGACTCGCCTGCCCCTCCCTTGCCAATTCCTTCTCTTCCGTTTCCATTCCTTCCTTCTCTTTCCTTTCCATGGCCCTTTTCCTGCCTTCTCCTTCCTGTTCCTTTTTTCCATCCCCCCCTTCTTTCTCGTTTGCTAACGTCTCTTCTTCCCTTCCCCTTTTCTTCCCTTCTACGGCTCTCTTATTCTCTTTCCTTTCTCCTTCCCTTCCACGGCCATCTTCTCGTCTTCACTGCCCTCCTCTCTTCTTTCCTTTCTTCCTCTGTCCCCCTGTCTCCAGGACGACGACATGGACGATGAGGACGACGATGCTGACATCAAAGGATGGCTGGGCGCCATGGGCATGCAGCATCTCCAGGAGTTCTTCGCACGTGTGCGAATATCCTCCCTGAGAGAGGCTCGAGCGCTGTCCATCGACGTGAGCAAGAATCGACTCCTTCCGTCCTCCCCCTTGAGCTCATAGCACAAACTCCTTGCTCTCTCTTCCAGTCCCCTCCCCACTCCTCTTAGTAAGAACCCCACCTTCCCCACTCCTTTCTCTTAGGAAGAATCCTTGCCTGTATTCTGCTTCCCCTCTTCGCAAGAGATCCTCACCCCCCCCTTCCCTCCCTCCCTCCTCTTGTCCCGTCCCGCCTTGACCTGCTGCAGGACATGAAGGGGATGGGCATCGCCGACGAGTTCGCCCGCAGGCTGATCCTGAACCGGGTCACCAAGACCGTGACGTCGAGACGGGCAAAGGAGATCGCGTGAGAGTAAATCAAAATCCAGTCGCCTTCACCACCCGTCCCTCTTCTAATAGCTCCTAGCTCATGGCGATCTCCCTCGCAGTCACTCACCCCTACCTTCTCACTCTATCACTCCTCCTCTCCTCTCTTTTCATCCCCCTCCCCCCCCTCCTCTCCTCTCCTCTCCTCTCCTCTCCTCTCCTCTCCTCTCCTCTCCTCTCCTCTCTTCCCCGTCTGCTACCTACCCGCTCTGCTGCCCCCTTCTACCGTACGATTTTTGAGTGGGCGGATTTCTGTCCCCAGAATGTCAGTCTAATAAAGGACCAGAGCGAAAATGGAGGGGGCGGGGGGGGAGGACTTGGAGGGAGGGAGCAGGAGAGTACAGGGGAGGAAAGATGGGGATGGAAGGGTATCGGAGCCAGGAGAGGGTGATGATGAGAGGACGAGGTAGCTTCTCTTGTAACACGGCATGCCTGCTGTCCTCCGAAGCTGCAGAGGACCGTGATGTTTGTTTGTTCCGCGATGACTCGGTAGACGGCAGGGGAGGACGATGCGCTCAGGACAGGCTGGAATGCTCTTCCGGACTTTTGTCATGTCTGCGGCATCATGCGACAGATCTGCGAACCTGGTGGTGGTAGGAGGAGGCATCTCAGGTAGACTGAAGGGAGGACGGGAGATGCAGTTGCCTTGCCTAAGAACGATGGCAGGACTATCAGCAGCGGTCAAGCTGCATCAGCACGGGTTCAAAGTGAAGGTGCTGGAGGCGTCCGAGAAAGTTGGGGGGAGGATGAGAAGCCTGTACGGTCCTGCTGGGGTTGTCGAGATAGGAGCGCAGTGGATGCATGGGACTGTCGGGAACCCTGTGTATGACCTGGCAAAGAAGGAAGGGCTTATGGAGGAGGAGGAGAAATATATGAGAATGCAGGACGAGACCTTCGGTCGCATGTGCTTCGTCAAGGAAGGAGGGGAGGAGGTGGATGAACAAGTGCTGGAGGACGTCGTGTCAGCGTACGACGACTTGCTGGAAGAGTTGGAGCAGGGCATGGCAGCGCCGGCAGGCTCAGCTGAAGATTACATCCGGTATGCGAGCAGCGTGAAGGATGCTGCTGCTGACTTGCTGTCCTTGTGCTGTAAGGCGAAGGCTGGGAGAAGAAGGGGCTCTAAACAAGCATGCGGGGTTGGAAGACGACGTGGAGAGGGTCTTGGAATGGAAGAGCCGCATGTTTGTGTTGTGCTCTCCGCTCTGACAGTGAAGTGAAGGAGTGCAAACAGGCAAGGGAACATCGATGGCTCTCACCCTTCCACCGTGTCCACTTCACACTTCATCAACTTCAAGGAGCTTGAGGGTGCGTACGGTCAACAGTAATTCCCTCCACTAGTGGGTCTCACGCCAGTGAGCAGGAGAACGAATCCTTCCTGTGCCCTGCGGATACTCAAAGATCGTACAATCCCTCGCGAATCTTCTTCCTGCAGATGCTGTCGTCACCTCTGCTAGAGTCTCGAGCATCTCAACTCTTGTTGACCAAGAGGTTGGCAGTGCTGTCCCCTTCCTTGCTTGACCTGTGAGCCCTTGGTGTAGGATGAAGAGAGGATCAAACTTGTGTGTAGCAATGGACAAGAATACTTTGCAGATGATGTTATTGTTGCCACGTCCCTTGGTGTTCTAAAACACTCAGGTCTCCTTCTGCCAACTTCTTCCTCCTACTTCTTCCCTCCCGCTTTCCCCCTCCTCCCTCCTCCCTCCTCCCTCCTGGCTGTCGGTTGCTTACACTTCATCTGTTCAGATATCCAGTTCGATCCGGAGCTGCCGCAGTGGAAGCGAGAGGCGATCAGCAGGATGGGGATGGGTGTGGTGAGTGCGAGGCAGCTGTAAAAGTCGCGCCTGATCTCCTCCCAGGTCGAGAAGGTTTTCTTCGAATTCACTGAGGAGTGAGTCGGGTTGTTGGCGAGCAAGACGAGCTTCTGACCTTGAGTTTGCTCATGAACTCTCAGCGACATGGAGACTATGGAGGTGAACTTCAGCACCTCCCCCCGTCTCTCCTCATCCTCTTCCCAGGAGAAGGGATTCTGCTTCCGAAGCATGTGAACCCTGCTTCTGAGACCTCCTCCGGACTGTGGCCTGACCCTCAAACTTGCCACAGCCTTCCAAGGCAACAGGATGAACAGAGTCTAAGCTTTCTTTGCCGAGCCACAGGCATGTACAGAGTCCCGATGTCAAGGTAATTTCTCCCCTCCCCTCCCACCCTCCTCCCAAGTGCATGACGCAAGTGGCAGGTACGTTTGCATGTGGCTGACTGGAGCGGATGTCTCGGAAAAGCTCAGCAAGACGTCGGATGAAGAGCTCATCTCACAATTTGTATGCAGACTTTCATGCACGCCTTCCTTCCTCACTCCCCCCAATCAACCGCTCTCCTCCATTCCTGACTCCCTTCCCAGTCCACAGTGACCGATCCTCCCCTGCGCCTGTTTCTCCTATGGGCTACTTCCTCTTATTCCTCTCCTCTCAGTCTCCTTCAATCTCTCCTCCTCCTTTCTTGAACTGCATCGTCATCAGGTACAGCTCGTCAGGGCTTTCGCGCGCCCCACGGACCAGCCTCACATCCCCAGCCCATTCAACGTGGTCAGGTCGAGCTGGGGAAGTGACCCTCACTTCAGGAAGGCTCCAGCTGGGGAGATTCGAGCTGACTTGTCGTGAGCAGGGGGTCCTACTCCTTCCTCTCGACCTCGTCAACACAGGAGGATATCCGTGCGCTGGGAGAGCCTGTTGTTGTCGGCAGCCAACAGAAGGCTTGCCATATCTGCTTCGCGGGGGAGGCGACCCACGAGAACTTCTATGGGACCGTCCATGGCGCCTACCTGGCCGGGGAAAGAGAAGCTCGGAGGATGATTCGTCTCCGATCAGCGCAGCCCATCGGCGACTGAGAAGCCGTTTGTGGACCACCCGCCGCATTCGTCCGAGTCGTAATCAACGTACGGAGGCTTCGATCATCGGATTCCGTCGGAGCTGAGCGCGACGGTGACCGGCCGATCCAATAGCCTCCGAGGCTCCGACGTGCACCCAGTGACACTCAGTCACGGCCCGGCCGGGCGGCGACTCCCGCGGGCCTGGCATGATCCCGGCGACGGCGGATCGGACGCGTCATGGCATGATCCGTACGGTGGACTCGGACGGCACCGTGTACCGATACTTCCGATCGATCCGTTCCGAACTTGAAGTTTCTGAGGCTACTGAGCGGCCTACGGTACGGTAGCGGCCCGGCCCGCCGGCCGGCCCCGCGGCGCGGCGCCGGGGCGCGATCCGATCGGATCGGACCCCGAGCCGGCCCGGCACTGGCAATGATTGATTAGTCAACTTAATGATTCGCGGGCTTGCCTCGTCTTGGTAGCTGGAGAGGCAAACATTGACTTTTACGTGACAGTTGCACCCACAGAGTTGACGGGCCGGCAAGGCATCAGCCAGCCCAACATAATATGAATATCTTGAATAAATTTGAAATATGCATGAAACATTTCATGTAGCTGAATCTCTCATTGGTGGGTGTGGGTGGTGGGTGGTGGGTGGTGGGTGGTGGGTGGTGGGTGGTGGATTGTATCCAACATTGAACGCCACCCTATAGTCCCCTTTGTATGGAGGTAGAGAAGGGGGGTGATCAATTATTTCGGATCAACTTTCATGACGCGTTGCAGCATGGGGGTGGGGTCAAAAAGGTTTTACAACTTTTTACAAGACACTCCGAGGACGTGACTGTTTGCTATGAGCGGTCACATTCATTGTATCCATTTCTCTGCCGAGAGTATCAAAAGACTTTCTTTCGAATCTGTACTACCACCAACAATTATAAAATGACCCCTAGGATTTTAGCTATAAATTTTTAAAAGTACCCCCCGTATCCGAAGATGTTTTACTACCCCACCTTCCCCTACACAGATCTATCTGTTCTCCAACCACCCCGTCTAGTTACTTACTACCCCCCATGTCCCCAATGATAACTCTTAGGTCCTCGGTCTCCCCTGCTACCCTACCCTACCCTACCCTACCCTACCCTACCCTACCCTACCCTACCCTACCCTACCCTACCCTACCCTACCCTACCCTACCATACCCTGTCAATCTAACACAAGGAAAACCCCCCAAAGTTCATACAAGTATTCTATATTCCTTTTATTTTAACATCCTTGGCACCAATGAGACTACCCTACCTACAAAAATATCCGACGATTCTACTAAGAGGGACGGGTCACGATATGTTTTGAACTTTACGCTACCTCATTCGGCAGAAAGCTCGGAGGTACCCCTCTCACTTCTCCACCACCGGGGTACATGAGGGACAAAACCACCTACCCCCAAGAGACGAAAGCAGTTACCTTGGGACAATTGAAAGTTAAATGGTTCGGAAAAGGGTGGGGTCATACAGGATCCAAACGTGGTGGGTTCTGATATTTTGGAGAGGTGGGTAGAGCAATAGTTAATAGTACGCGAGATGAAAGCGATCGATACAGATGGGAGGATAGAAATAGGGGTGGGGTACGGGGCTAAGACATTCCAACTCGGGGTGATGGTAAAAGACTTTGATGATTTTGGGGGGTAGGGGTTGATTCTAGGGGAGGTCAATGTGGAGGATCTCGGATGGTAGACGAGGTGGAGGGGGTGGGGTGGGAGTTGCTTTCCTCGTGGACTTCTGCGTAGCAGTCCTGCTGGAAGTCTTTGCAGCCCCCCCCCCCCCCCTGGCGAATCTCCTCGGTCCCTCGCTCCCTTCCTCTCTCCCTCGGTCCCTTCTTCTCTCCTCCCTTTCTCCTCCGGCTTGTTCCCTCCGGGCGAACCCACTCTTTGTCATACCCCCTCTCCCTTCCCTACGCTCCTCTCTGTCTCACCATCTCTTGCCTGGATTCTGAACTTATTCTTTCCCACCGTACGTTTGTTTGCCTGCTTGCTCACAAGTTCTCGCTGCATCTGAAACACACGCTGGGATCGGTTGTTCCTTCTCGCTCCTCGCTCCTTTCGCCCAAGGTGACCAGAAAGCCCGCTACTATTATCGTTTGGAGGGACTGAACTGTACTCCGTCAGGCAAAACCTGTACCCCTCTGAAGCATGTCCTTCCGGAGACGGAGGAACACGATGACGTCGGAGCATGTGCACTCAAGAAGCATGACCTCCCTCACGGATGTCCCGGAATCCCTTGGACGTTTCCTGTCTAAGGGCAGGAGGAGTTCAGTCTCTCAGGCAACATGCATGCCAAGGAACAACTCGTTTTCCTCCTTCTCCACTCTGGAGCTTCCCAAGGAGGATCTGGAGACCCTTTCCACTGCGACTACTCCGACCAAGAGTACCCAGAGGCCTCAGAACCTCACCTACCAGTGGGAGCACACAGAGGAAGTATTCAGCCTGGCACGCATTGCCTCTTCCCTGAGACCCAACGAGCCCCTGTGCGTTCTTGAAGGTAGGCCTTGCCTCCTTTTCTGTGCCGACATCACGGTCTTATGTTTTGTTGAACAGACCGCCTGTACTTTATGACAACACAAGCACCAGTAACTGCGAAGCATGGACAGTACTTCTTCACCATGGATGGCGTGATGAGCTACATGCCATTCTGCGCCGACTTCGGGCCGTTCAACCTGGGCATGACCAAGCACTTCCTTGACACGTTTGAAGACATGCTGAGACGAGCAGAAATGAAGAGCCTCAAGCTCGTGTACTATACCTCCACCAACCCCTGCGACGTGTCGAACGCCATCTACCTGCTCGGGACTTTCCTGATTCTCCAACTTGGGGTCTCCCCGCAGGACGCCTGGTTCCCTTTCTCGCAAATATCGAGCAAGGCGATCAGATTGTACAGGGACGCGACTTGGGTGCCCAGCACGTACGACCTTCACATCACGGACTGCTGGGCAGGGCTGCTCAAGGCCGTGAAGACAGGGTTGTTCAACTACAAGACTTTCGACAAAGACGAGTACTTCTACTATGACAATCCAGACAATGGTGACATGCATGAGGTTCTCAAGGGGAAATTCTTTGCGTTCAAGGGGCCGTCAGGTAGGAGAAAATACCTCGGGTCAGGTCGTTACACCCTCCTCCCATCGGACTACTTCGACGTGTTCAGATCCAAGAACATCAAGACGGTCGTGCGGCTCAACAATAAGGAGTACGATAGGAACGTCTTTGTACAGTCAGGGTTCCAACATCACGATCTCTTCTTCACAGATTGCACAACTCCTTCCGATACCATTGTTGACAAGTTTCTGCGCATCGCGGAGGGAGCAGAAGGCTCGCTTGCCGTTCACTGCCTGGCTGGATTAGGGAGGACGGGGACTCTGATCGCGCTCTACATGATGAAGCATCTTCAGTTTACGGCCAACGAGGCCATGGCCTGGCTCAGAATCGTTCGTCCAGGAAGCGTCATCGGTCCCCAGCAGCAGTACCTGCAGGATCAGCAGGCCAGGATGTGGAACCTCGGGCAGAAGAAGGTGGCTGGGCTCGGGGTCACGATAGGGCTGAAAGACAGTGAGGTGGGACAGGAGATCTCGGGCAAGGCGGCGGTGCTAGCGGACATGGTGACCAAGGGCATGCTGAACAGGGACGTCATGAGGGACGGGAAGCAGTCGCGGCAAGAAGAAGGCCCTTCAATGCCAACAAAGGGGACGCCAACCAAGAGTTTGCGGATGAGCCAGCGAGGGGAGTGGAAGAGCTGCCTGAAGGATCTCTCAGTGGACGAACCGAAGGACTCACTCTCCTCCTCCCAATCTGGTTCCAAGGGAACGCGGACTGTGCGCTTTTGCTCCACACCTCCTGCTGGGAAGGCGATGGAAGCGGCGAGGAAGTTGCGCGTGAGATAACGGGCCGATCATGTTGAATTTATTGTTTCTGTGAATACTGCAAATGTTGACATGAGTGTATGATTGAATAAGCAAGTTTGCAAGATAAACTTGATGGCTCACGACGCTCGAGTGTTGTTTGAAGCTCCGGAAAGTCAAAGCTCCTCCACTGAGATGCATGGCATGCGCTTTAAGACGTCTCATGAGGTAGAAGCAAGAGCTCGTGCGGGCTGTCCCTCCCGCTGCCTATCCCTCCACCTTGGTTCGACCCAAGGAACGTGCTCGACGGGAGGGAGCGGCGACTTGCCAAGAATGAGATCAGCGGCCTGAAGGAAGAGGATAAGGATCTTGAAGAGAGTGCTCCCCCAGCATCAGCAAGGAAGCAAGGCAAGCGTTGCTTAAGTCGAGAACTGGGAGGGAAGAGAGGAGAGAGGAGAGGAGAGGAGCGGAGAGGAGAGGGTGATCAGAGCGGAGAGGAGGGAGGAGAGGACGCTTGATAGAGGAGAAGAGTGCAACAAGCAAAGCAGGAGAGTGAGAGAGGAGTAGAGAATATTTCTTTCACCTTCTCTGCAATCATGATCGTCGGGCCATTCAAGTTTCCGTTGGTTATTCTCGGCATGATGGAAGAGTCGACGACCCGCAGGTTTTGCAGCCCGTGGACCCTGAGAGGAGGCGTAAAGTGAAGCGGGGAAACAAGTAAAGAACAACTGGGGGGATGATAAGAGAAGAGGAGGAAAAGAGGTACGTAGCGATACTTGGGGACAAGATCATTAAGTAGGGGGGACCGTGGGGGACAGGCAGAGGACGAGTTTGTGAGGAGGAGGAGGAGGAGGAGGAGGAGGAGGAGGAGGAGGAGGAGGAGGAGGAGGAGGAGGAGGAGGAGGAGGAGGAGGAGGTGGTGGTGGTGGTGGTGGTGGTGGTGGTGGAGGAGGAGGAGGAGGAGGACAAAAGTGGAATCTTTGGAAAGAGGGAGGGAGGGAGGGAGGGAGGGAGGGAGGGAGAGAGGTTAACACGAGTTCACGCTGACTCGAAGAATGAACAAGAGAGCGAAAGAGGAGGAAGAACCAGGCACTGGCACAAGCAATAAAACCATAATACCTGAGATGGCTGTCGACGACGTCGAATTGATTTCCCTTGCCCATCTTGCAAGTTCCGCAAGGATGATAAGCACTTTCAACCTGGAGGGGTTGAGAAGTTACAGCAGAGAAGGAGAGAGGGGGAGCAAAGAGAACATCATGAGATAACATGACAGGACGGAGGAGAAGGAGGAGAGGAAATATTTGCAGGTCGCGACAAGAGGGAGGGAAAGATCTTTGCTGCCTCGTCCCCTTACCTTCTGTCGCACCGCTTCATCGATATCTTGATCGGACAGCACTTGTGCTCCGGGCGAGATCTCCTCTCCTCTACCACCCAGGGGCCTCAGCAAGTGCCGAGGACGCCATCCCTCGCACTCATCCATCCTCCCCTCCCCTCTCTCCTCCCTGTCTCTCCCTGTCTCTCTCTCTCTCCCTCTTCCTGCACCCCGCCCTCTCTCTTCCTCTCTTCCTCTCTCTCTCTCTCTCTCTCTCTCTCTTCCTCTCTCTCTCTCTTTCTCTGTCTCTCCCCCCCCCTCTCTTCCTCTCTCTCTCTCTCTCTCTCTCTCTCTCTCTCTCCCTCTTCCTCTCTCTCTTCCTCCGTCCCTCCGTCCCTCCGTCCTCTTCCTCTCCGGCCCTCCGTCCCTCCGTCCCTCCGTCCCTCCGTCCCTCCGGGTTGCTTGATTTTTCTATCTCATGCATCTTGAAATGAAGATCGACCAGGTGCTGTTGATGACTGATATCACAAGCTTGTTTTGCTCGCGAAAGAAGATTGTGAAAGCATTCATCCTCTTTCACTTTCAAAGGCACTTGAAGATCAAGCCTCAAATTCTTCAAGCTTGATTGAAGTACATGATCTCGTTCTCTCTTCAATGCATACCATTCTTCGGGTAGGTCAAAGAGGTGAGCAAGCTTGGCCTCTGCTTCTCTTAGCTCTTCATGCAACTCTTTGACATTGTTTTCTTCCCAACAGACAATGCTCTCTTGGACTTGAAGCAATCTTCTCGATGCACAGTTAGATGTAGATTCAGGGGTTGACTCTCCATGATCATCATCAA